CCCCAAAACCCCAAAACCCCAAAACCCCAAAACCCCTAAAAATTCCCTACTTCTAGAAATCTTATCAAGTCATGTTAAAATATTAAAAATGACGAACACGATGTTGCTTATGCTCTGTTTGCTAATTACAACAACTCTTGCATCGAAATGGTAATACTTTAGTCCTGATAGGAGTCAGGGTTGAAGCTTTTTAAGGACTTTGAGTTGATCCTCAAGGCTTAAAAATTTTAAGACTAAATATCGAAGTTATTTAACTAAAATTTCTAGAAAATTTAGAAAAAATCTGTCTAAAAGATAAATAAGTTATTATTCTTCATTGAAATAATGTTTTAACTCATTATAGATCATCTCAAGAAGGATCCGAAACCTGCCTGCCAAACCCCTCCTCTGACTTTGACATAAAGAATGAGTAAGAAGATCCGAATCATTCAGAAATTATTTTCCTTGTTTAGGCACAATGATCAAATGTTTGGTGAAGATTCAGTTACAAAACTTCAAAACAAAATTCTGGATCCGAACGATCAGCTATCACAATCTCCGGACATGACCAAAGAGGATGCAAAAGAATCTTGGGGTAAGATTAATGGAATCTTGGAATCGAACCATTTAAAGCTATTTTTCATTGTGTTTTACATTTCTGACCTTGATGTAGCGTTCAGAACAGCTGGTGGATTTGGATACAGTTTTTCATTTATTTTCCTCTCAGAAATTGGAGATAAAACCTTCCTTTTTGTGATCTTATATTCAACAAAGATGAAACCACTTAAATTACTTTGACTTGCTTCATTAGTTCTTGGAGGATTGCATGTGAGTGGTGTTGTATTAGGAAATACTATCCAATTATTATTCGGAACTCTTTTGGTACAAATTATAACAATTTCTACCTTCTTCATCATGGGAATTTTCTTACTGTATGATGTATACACCAGTGAAGATGAAGAAGACGTTGAGTCAAAACTAAAAGAAGTAGAAGAAGAGGCGCATATCAATAAAAATTCTCGCAAAGAAACCTCTAGCACCGACTATTCTTCTGATGAGGCCACAAATGAGAAAGCTCAGACAGCTTTAAGATTAGAAGAAAATATTATCCAGAAAATTATAAACTTCTTTGCTTCCCCAGACTCCGTAAAAGTAGTATGAACACTCCTTGCATTTGAAATGGGAGATAGATCTCAAATATCAGCATTTGGTCTCGGTGCACAATATAACTTCTTGGTGGTAGCTATTGCAGGAGCTTGAGGTCATATCCTTGCAACCTTATTAGCTATTTTTTCAGGAAAGGCTATAGCTTCTTACACTACAGAAAGAGCAATGAACACTATTGGGGGAATACTATTTCTGTTCTTTAGCGCCTACAATGCTCTTGAGCATCTCTAATACGGTATTTGTTGCGATTCATTAAGATTTATCGACTTTATCAATATTTTGGGATAAGTATGGGGTTTTGGGGTTTTGGGGTTTTGGGGTTTTGGGGTTTTGGGG